CCCATACATATCTATTTACTAATGAAGCGCTGAAACACACAGTGAAAGGAAAAACTTGGTAGTGAAGGAAAAAAAGACACCGTTATCATGTTATTATAACATCAAATCACATTATAATGATATCATATTGAGATAAGGCGTATTTTGAGATTTTAGGTTGTTACAACGATATAATGTCCAACGAAATCTCCTAATTTTTTCAATAAGCGGCTAATGAATTCGTACGATCTAATTTGTACAATTTAGTACGATTTGGTCATCACCCAATGATGGTTGGGGTTAGGGGTGGGGTTGGGTGCCACGCCTCCTTTTTAAAATCGTACATTATCATACGACTTAACTCATTCGAATTAGCCACTAAACTGACAAAATGTAAAATACATATGTTTCCTCGTGAGATCAGGCTTTAATATCTTATTATATTAAGTCATTATTTTGAGATAAGTCATTATTACAACATAATATCTATTACTTTGAGATATTACGTTTTCAAGATATGAAGTCGTTCAGGATATCTTGTAGTAACGGCTTAATATCTCGAAATAATATCTTTTCAAAAGAATGAGATATGTCATAATAACAGTTTATTATCCTCAAATTATGATCTAATATCTTAAAATAACATCTTCTCTCAAAATAACACAATATTTTGAGAAGAATATTTTTGGTATTTTGAGATAATAAATTGTCATTATGACATATCTTGTTATTTTAAGAAGTTATTTAAGATATTACATCATTATTTTAAGAAATTAGTGCCGTTATTGTGACATAATATCTCATTATTTTGAGAAGTCATTATTTTGAGATAAGTCGTCATTATTACATAATATCTCATTATTTCGAGATATTTAATCACTATTTCAAGATATTAAGTCACTACTGCGACAATATTTTGTTATATTGAGAACTCATTATCTCAAGATATTAAGTCATTATTTTGAGATAAGTCATTATTACAACATAATATCTATTACTTTGAGATATTACGTTTTCAAGATATGAATTTGTTCAAATTTTCTTGTAGTAACGGCTTAATATCTCGAAATAATAACTTTTCAAAAGAATGAGATATGTCATAATAACAATTTATCTTGAATTTATGATCTAATTTCTCGAAATAACGTCTTCTCTCAAAATAACAAGATATTATGTTGGTATTTTGAGATAATAAATTGTCATTATGACATATCTTGTTGTTTTAAGATGTTATGTCATTATTTTAAGATATTAAGACGTTATTGTGACATAATATCTCATTATTTTGAAAAGTCGTCATTTCAAGATATTAAGTCGTTATTTTGGGATATTAAGTCAGTACTTTGAGATAATGAGTTATCATTATGACATAATCTTGTTATGTTGAGATATTAAGTCATTATTTTGAGATAAGTCGTCATTATGACATAATATCTCATTACTTCGAGAGATTTAGTCACTATTTGAAGATATTAAGTCACTACTGCGACAATGTTTCGTTATATTGAGAACTCATTATCTCAAGATATTAAGTCATTATTTTGGCATATTAAGTCATTACTTTGAGATAATAAGTCATCATTATGACATAAAAGCTTATTATTTTTGCCTATAACTTGCCTAGTTTATGTTTCGCAAAATTATATTATTATTTTGAGATATTCAGTTGTAATTTTGAGATATTAAGTCATTATTTCAAGACATTAAGTTGTTGTTATGACAAAATAACTTGTAATTTCGAGAAGTTATTTCGAAATGTTAAGTCTTTAGAGATATCATGTCATTAGTTTGAGATAATCAGTCATCATTACAACACAATATCTTGTTATTCTGAGATATTAATTCATTATTATGACTAATCTCAGTATTTTGAGATATTACATTGTCATTTCGAGATAATAAGTAGTTATTTTCACGATATTAAGTCATTCAAGTTATCTCTAAATAATAACTTCTCAAAATAACAAGATATTAGGTCATAATGACAATTTATTATCTCGAAATAATGACTGAATATCTCAAAATAACAATTTATTTAAAAATAAAGAGATTTTCTGTTGTTATTTTGAGAAAATAAATTGTCATCACGACATATTTTCTTGTTATTTTAAGCTGTTATTTCGAGATATGTCATCATTATGACATAATATCTCAAAATGACAAGATGTTAAGTCATTATATTGAGATAAAAAGTCCACATTATGACATAATATCTTGTTATTTTGAGATATTAAGTCATTGTTATAACATAAAATCTCATTTTTTTCAAGACATTAAGTTGTTTTTTCACAATATTGTTATGTCGAAATATTATGTTTTTATTTTGAGATATTAAGTCATTATTTTGAGATGTCAAGTTGTATCTTTGAGATGCTAAGTCAGTATAATGAGATATTTTTTCCTCACTACCCAACATGTTTTCCTTTTCTTTTCACCGTGCTGTTCAGGGCTTCCATAATTTACTCTGAATATAGCTTGAAGAGAATAAACACAGCAGTAATACACAGACATTGTTTATAATCCTGTTTGATTTTCCTTTATTTGCCCTCTTTCAGTTGTTTAGAAAGTAATGTACCGGATCCGTCTTTCTTTATGTTTGGACAACCGATTAGTCTGTGAATCAGGAGCGTCTGTGGATGCAGTACTGCTGGATGCTGTGTACAGTAAACATGGGTAAAATGTGTGTAAATAATGTATCAGAAATAAACGAGTAAATCTGAGCTGTGTGTCCCGCTGTTCTTGATTGTTATTGTTGTTATCGCTGCAACAAATGCTTGTCTTACTTGGAGTTTTTGTCTCTTTCTAATGCAAATATCTACAAATGCTTAAATCAAGAAGCTAATTCTAGACAAGCTCAAAATATAGTCTTAATTTCAGAATTAAAGGGTCAAAATGAAGTGAGTTTTTCCTCAAAACAAGCAAAATAGTCTTTATTTTTAAATTAATAATAGAAAATATATTATTATTGATATTGAATAATACATTTGTGACCCTTAAAACTAGTTATAAGTGTCATTTTTTTGCCAATTGAGACATTTGCACTGTTTTAAAGATGAATAAATCAGATTTGCATTGATGTTTGGTTAAGATTGTTAAGATAATATCCGGCTTAAATACAACTATTCAGAAATCTGCAATCTGATGGTTCAGACATTTATTTTTCTTTAGATTAGTCCCTTTATCAGTCCGTTGTTGCCAAAGCGGAATGAACTGCTAACTATTTCAGCATATGTTTTACACAGCGGATGCAACCTAGTACTGGGAAACACCCATTCTCTCTCACATTCACACCCACACTCATATACTACAGGCAGCTTAGTTGATCAGTTCCCCTATAGCGCATGTGTTTGGACTGTGAGGGAGCACCCGGAGGAAATCCACACCAACACAGAGAACATGCAAACTCCACGCAGAAACACCAGCTGACCTAGCCAGGACTCGAACCAGCAACCTTCTTGCTGTAATGCATTTGTGCTACCCACTGTGCCACCGTGACACCCATTATGATTATTATTATTGTCGCCATTATTATTATTTTTTTTAATACTAGTATAATTGGTGGTTCATTCTGCTGTGGCGACCACTGGTAAATCAGGGACTAAAACCAAATAAACTGAACTAAACATAATTATCATATTACTTTGCTGAAAATTACACCAAAATAGCAAAAACATGCAGTCGATTGTCATTTTCTTTAACATGAAGAGAAAAAATTAAGTGAGACGTAAAGAGCGCCTCAGTTTGTGTCCGCCGTGACGTCAGTTTGTAGTCCAGCACAGTGAACTGCACTACATTCCCCATGATGCCTCGCGCGTCGGCAATCCGCTGCTGTCATTTAGGCGACGGAGTAACAGCGTGTGAAGGCAGAAGCTGCAGAAGTTAAGGAGCTTCATTTCAACCATGCTGACACTGACATTACGACAAATAACCAGGGTGAGTCAAACCTTCATAAGTGCGTTATAAGCGGACATTAACGCGAATTAGGAGCTGCTGGTCTGGGCGCGTTATGTATGTGTTTATGAGGCGGTGTATAAAGATGCTACGTGTAGAGCTGTGTGTGTGTGTGTGTGTGTGTGTGTGTGTGTGTGTGTGTGTGTGTGTGTGTGTGTGTGTGTGTGTGTGTGTGTGTGTGTGTGTGTGTGTGTGTGTGTGTTTTGATGAGAAGCGCGTGTTCAAACGTGGCAGCAATTTCTGTTTTCTTGTGTGTGTGTATGTGTGTGTGTGTGTGTGTGTGTGTGTGCGCGCGCGCGTGTGTGTGTGCGCGTGTGTGTGTGTGCGTGTGTGTGTGCGTGTGTTATACTTTTATATTTTACAGTGTTGTTGAAGTGGTTTGTGTTCATGTTTGATAATGTTTTAAAGCTTCACACTTTGCAACTCTCCCGCTGAGTGTTTGAGTGTGTGTGTGTGTGTGTGTGTGTGTGTGTGTGTGTGTGTGTGTGTGTGTGTGTGTGTGTGTGTGTGTGTGTGTGTGTGTGTGTGTGCGTACGTAAGATGACGCAACCACACGCGCTGTTTCAGTATGATCTTTGCTTAACACATGATTTTATATTATTTATTGTTTTTTTAGTACATTTTTTTCTCTTCTGTGTGCATATTTGATGCTTCTCTGTAAAGCTCATGTACACTCTTTGTAATAAATTTGTAGGATGTAAATGTAATCGGGCTCTTTCTTGCAGTCTTTTTAAATTACAACAAGATATAATTGTTACCATCAGGGGCGGATTTACTGATTTTGGGGCCCTGAACAATTCCAGCCAGGGGGCCAAAAGATTTAAAATGCACCTTTTGCACTTAAATTGTTTTATTATTATTTTGCTGTTTTGTTCTTTTATCATTCAATCTCTTTTTTACATTTTATCTTCATGCTAAATAATAATAACATGTAAAGCACCTTGTAGAACCTTTGAAACGATTTGTTTCATTAAGATGAATTCACAACCAGTTGTGTACAGTACTAATTACAAATACTCAAATTACTGTAATTAGGTAATTTTTCCTCAGGAATTGTAATTTACTGAGTAGTTTTATAAATGTGAACTTTTACTCTCACTTGAGTACATGTTCAATGCAGTATCTGTACTTTTACTCCACTACAGTCCTTCATCCTGCAGTCACTACTGTATTATTTCTTTCTTGTCTATGTGGAGTAGAGAAGTCAGTTCTGTGATTCCTGTTCAATCAAATCACACATGGAAGGTAAATCGACTCATAATGAACTTCCTCAAGACCTGGGCGATTTATAAATGCAGCAAACTGTTTGGAAGCATTAAAAGTGTCTGAGAAGATGTCCAGAATATTTACACACACTGACCCAGAGACTGTTTAGATCATGTCACTGATGAGAAGATGGCGGATGTTTACTGTATAATAACCGTAATGGCCTTAGCAAGCACAAGACGTCAACATGACATCAGATTGACGTTGTACCCCACTGTCGTGGGGACGTTGCATTTTGTTTGTTATTGACTATGATCTTCTATGTAAAGCTGCTTCGACACAATTTACATTGTAAAAGGGCTATACAAATAAAGGTGAATTCAATTGAAATTAAAATCGGGCTGACGTCAGAACTCAATATCAGACCAACGTCAATGTCCAACCAAAAACCAACCAAATATCAACGTCTAATGATGTCACAGCTTGAAGTTGTGTGAACAATACCACCATGACGTCTATCAGATATTGGATTTTGGTTGCCACACCTGATTAATAAATATCAGTATTTGACACCAATATGACGTTGGTTTAAGATTTTGGCTCGACATTGGACGGTGGTTACTTTCTAACAACTTAAAATCAACCAAATATTCAACGTCATTTGATGTCATTATTGGACATCAAAATAATGTCCATAGACGCTGGCTAGACATTGAATTTTGGTCACCTGACATCACAACCTAAATCTAAATTTTACGTTTACACACATCCACACAAATTATGTGTAATCACATCAGCTTTTCACAGCCTAATACTCACTACTCTTGAGTACTTTTGAAAGGTCTACTTTATACTCCTACTTTGAGTAATATTTACAACAGGTACTTTTACTCTACTCGCAGTACATTTTTAGGCAAGTAGTGGTACTTTTACTTGAGTATGATTTTTCAGTACTCTTTCCACCACTGTTCACAACTAAACATACTGAATGATCTATTTCGTTTGTTAAATTAAATCTTTACTGATTTGACTGCTGGACTTCTCCATGATTAAAGGTAGGGGACACATTTGCCCAGATGTAATAATTATTTTAATTAATAATTATAAAATTTTACACCCTCGCCGTACAAAATATGATAGAAAACATTGCTATATATAATTTATAGTGTATTTATAGTTATTTGGTGGCCGTCAGATTTCCTGGGGCCCTAAGCGGCTGCTTACTTTGCTTATTGGTGTAATCCGCCCCTGGTTACTATAAAAGTAAAACTCACACATCAGATAACTACATTATTAACTCTTTTGTTTTGGAAACATGTTATTCACAACTCTCAGATTCTTTTTCACATTTTTAGTTGAAGCCGCTGTGTGTATTTGTGTTGGGTAAAAACAGGGAAGGATTGATTTTGGAGTGTTATGATAATTGTTTTGAAATCTCCACTGATGCGTGATCTTTGCTAAATATTCTATTGATTTTTTTTTGCCCTTAAAAAAGTCTATAGATTTGACTCGTGTAAGGCATCTTTGCCTATCTGTGTTGTTGTTGATGTTTTTAATCTTTGCTTTTAGTTGTGCTTGTACATTAACTTAAAAAAAGTTATTTCTTTGACATCTACAGTTGCTGAACTCCTCTAATAAACATTTGTTGTGTTTTAAATAAGTAATCGTACTGGGTGGCACAGTGGCTCAGTGGTTAGCATTATGATCTCACACCAAGACGTGGCTGGTTTGAGTCCCACCTGGGTCAGTTGGTGTTTCTGTGTGGAGTTTGCATGTTCTCCCTGTGTTGGCGTGGGTTTCCTCCGGGTGCTCTGGTTTTCCCCACCGTCCAAACACATACGCTATAGGGGAACTGATGAACTAAATTAGCCGTAGTGTGTGTGAATGAGTTTGTATGGGTGTTTCCCAGTACTTGGGTTGCAGTTGGAAGGGCATCCACTGTGTAAAACATATGCTGGAATAGTTGGTGGTTCTGCTAAATGCAGACTAATAATACAAGCAAAAACCAACAAACAGAGGCAACGGCTGCAGAACTCAATGATCGTGACATTCAGAAAATAAGTGAGTTTTGAAAAGATAAAATATTACACTTAGAAATATTATTGAAAGATGTGTTGTTGTTGTTGTTGTTTACTTGTTACACCAAATACTCTGCTAATATGAACTGCCTGAAACTGCAGATTTTGGCTATCTGTATCGTTTTTGTACTGAATTTAATCCTAATAACAGGTTGAAACTGCAGTGTTTTAGCTCCTGGATGTCATTGTTGTTGTTTTTTAATCTTTGATTTTAGTTGGTTTTGTACATTCATGTCTTTTAAAGTTATTTCTTTGCCATCTGCGATTGCTAAACTCTAGTAAACATTCGTTTTAAATCCAAAATCAAACCAAAAGTGCTTCAGGGGTAGTTAATGTGTCGGTGTTCTTTGGATAAGGAATTCATAAAGACAACGTACATTTCGAGTGTCTTGGATTTATGATTTCGTTGTTTAAACATTCATTTTACTTGAAGTAACCAAACTGGATTTAGTTTTCTACCACTAGTTTACTGTAGTGTCTTTAACTCTAGATGGTGTGTTTTTCATTATACTGAATATAATGCTAATTAGGGCTGCACAATATATGCTTTCAGCATCGATATCACAATGTGTGCATCCGCAATAGTCACACATAATCTGCAGTGTTGATTTGGGATTATATTTGACCAGGAGCCACAGTTGGATTCATTATAATGGAGCAAATGTTGATCATTTACATGCTTTTAAGGCCTGTGACTGTGTGAGCATATCAAGAGAGGTTAAATCATTCAGACTCGGGAAAGTTTGTATCGTTTAAAACTTTAATAATTATTTTTTTTAC